GTAACCCGTCAACCATTTCATTTTACGCCACAAGTCATTTTGAGAGGCTGAATGATCAATGGTAGAACAAAACTCTTGCCAAGCGCTGTTTTTCGCTGCTCGTATTAATTTTTGCGTTAGGATATCGAAATTCTGTGGAGTAGGGTTTCGTCTAAATTTTGATAGTGCCAACCGTCGTTCAGCAACTGCTTTAGAAAGTGTAGAATTCCGATAGGGTAAAGGTTTAAAGTCGTTGCTTGGGTCTTGGTTGATTTTTATAGGAGGGATGTGCTCTTTAGCCGCTTCGTTAATGCATTCAATGAATAAATCATATACGTTTTGTAGATATATAGGAAGTGATATACCTGAAAAATTCCTGTGAAGCTCATCTTTGTACCCAATCCATTCGGCTTTCTTAAAGTTTCTTCTTGTAACTAGAGATCACCGCCTAAAGTTTCATTTATTATGGCCCAATAGAATTTTAGAGTGATATCCGCAGATGAGAAAGAAATATCTGAAGAGTATTCCTGCAAGCTACCGTTAAATAACGGTAGCTTGCAGGAATACTCTTCAGATTCTACGCGTTGGTCCACAATTGTTTAATATTATTAACGAGTTATCTATTAACGCGTCAAAAATCTGAACTCTTCTAGAGTCTGTTTACATTGACCAACTATTATGGTGTGCATTGGAGTCGCCAAGTGAAAGCGATTTTTTATTGATAAAAGATAGTAATTGATCAAAAATCTGAACTCTTCTAGAGTCTGTTTTCATTGACCAAGTATTATGGTGTGCATTGGAGTCGCCAAGTGAAAGCGATTTTTTATTGATAAAAGATAGTAATTGATCCCAATCGCTAACGGTTGTAAGTGCAGAAGGAGGACAATAAACAGCCATAATGTTTTCAATATTAACACAATTGTAAACCTTTAAATAAAGAATCTTTATGCCCGGGTTAACTATTGGCATATTTTGTAAGTGACACTTAACTGCTTTGTGGGTAATTCACAAGGTGGAGCTACTCCACCGTAGAAATGGAAACGATCCCTACGGAGTATCTTATAGTTACAAATTTTTAATGGGCTGTCCTGCTCTAACCATGTTTCACTTAGAACCGCAATTTGAATCTTTTCCTGCGACAGTAACCATTCAAATGCAATTAGCTTAGGTCCGAGACTTTGACAATTCCACTGGATAATATTTATCTTAAAATATTTTTTGTACTATCCATTTAAATAGTCCAGTAATAATTTTAAAATAGGCCAATCCGAAATATTATCTACTACAACTAAAATCAACCATTCCACATAACACTTTATCACCTCCTTTATCTTGTCTTGCATAGATGCACTTCTTAAAAATATGATCTCTTTCAGTCTATTCAATAATTCACTAAAGTTCACTTCCTTTTTCGGGGATGTCTTGGCTTCCAAATGGTCCATTGTTGGCGTATTCATGGAATTAACGTGGCGTTCAGGGGAGATAGCTTTCCTGGCACCGTGCCACCACTTTATCCGGAGGTTATCTTTCGGTTCCGATTCACTATGTACTATTGCCTCAGTCTTAACCACCTTAGCAAACGTAACCTGGTCATGTTTGCGGCCTTGGTTATATGAGGTAGACTGAGCTTGCGAAGTTTCCTACCTTATAACGGTTATTTTACTGTTCGAGGTGTTTGTCTCTTGCACTGGAGAGGTAGGTGTTACAAAAGTTGTAAGTGTTGTTCTATATGTACAGTTAAACTCTGCCAACAATTGCCTCAATCTTTTCTCCCGTTGATATGCTGGGCAGATCCTGGCCAAGGACATGTTATTACCTGTACAATTTATACATTTATAGGTATTTATATTACAATTCTCATGATTTTTGCCGCACTTAGGATATACTACTTTGTTATATGGGCATTTTTAATTGTATGACCAAGTTTCCAACAGCGTGAACATTGTGACACCGGAAACACATATGGATCCACTTTAACGTAAACAACTTAACACACGAAATAAACAATTATCTCGTACGCGTACCGACACGAGACTGACAGTACAACACAAGTTCTTAATAATCGATTATTGGTTCATTGACATCGATTTTTCTATGTTTGACATGTGGCAACATCGATGTTAAAAATTAAAATATCGATGTTTTTCGAACATCTCTAGTTTCGGGCATAGACCACAGAACACTATGGCATAGACCATAGATAAATAAATATGTAGCAAGATAGACTTGGTAAGTCTTACTATCTTATCAGATCTTATCACAAACCCGGTGGACATATTTAATATTTGGTTTGGTGGTGTATTTTGCGGAATAGACGCTTTTACATCGTGTATGTTAAATATATAAAACAAAAATAATACGTCTTTAATTGAAACCTAATCCCTTAAAATATAAATATAACCGCCTATAGTATAGATAGCTGTATATACATAACTACATACAGCTATCTATAGTCAACATGATATTGAGATTAGTTCAAGCAAGAGTACCTATGTATTAAACTGAAAGCATTAGTTCAAGATGAGTCAAGTTCTACTATACATAGGCATGTCGATTCACTCTTAAAAAAATCGATTTCTGAATCGATTTGAATCGAAGATACTAGAATCGATTTTCGATTAAATCGAGGATTAAAAGATCGATTTCTGATTAATCGCGACATTTTCAAACATGAAATTTCAAGAATTTGCGATTTTTTTCTTTAACTTTTTCTTTAATTTAACTTTAATAATTTTTTAAATAAAATATACCATCAAAAACATAATTTGTAAAAAAAAAATCAAGTCTCGCAACTCAGTTCTTCTACCGTAAAATGTTGTGATTTTTTTGCGCCCGAAGCAAATATGGGCAACCCTCCGGAAACGGGGGAGGGAGGCGGTGAATGCTCATCATACACGCAGCCGGCTGCGTGGCTTGTGACTTTACCCCTAAAGCCTTGGGCCTAAGTTTAAGCCGTATACGAACGCGACCCTCCTTGGCAGAAAGGAGGGACAGTTGTGAGATCTATGTAATAACAAGTCGGTTAATTTATTCAGTCCCTACTTAAGGGTCCTTCTGTTTTAAGTTATTACGTAATTAACTAACCTAACAACATTTTATAGTGACCATATTAATGTCAAAAATGTTTTATGTTTCAAATAAATAGATTTACTTAGCAATCACATGAAATCACAATCAATCTCACAAGTAATACATATTATATTAAATTAGATTACTTAGTGACTGCATAAATTAACCGACTTGGTATTACATAGATCTCACAACTTTTTACGGTGGAAGAACTGAGTTGCGAGACTTGGTTTTTTTTACAAGTTATGTTTTTGATGGCATCTCATTTCTTTTTGTAGATAAGATAGTCCTACTTTTTCCTTTCCGGTACCTTCTACTTCTTGAATACCAATACACCTATTATACATATACAAGTACACTGATTCATTCACTGCAAATTTATCTTTGTAATTCTATGTTTATATGGGATTACTAAGTTATTTATGCAGTTGGTTGTATCTAGAAAACTGGACCGAAATTAAAAAAAACATTTTAGTTTTTCCTTAATTTATACACAAAACACTATTTATATTCCAAACCTGAAGCTTCTATGTCTGCTAGAAGTGCCTTAGAGTTTTGATGATCGGTCAGTCAGTGAGTGACAAAATTAAAAAACTTTTACTAGTTATAATTCTTAAACTACTGGTTCAAATTGAGTTAAATTTTAAATATATCATGTTTATAAAATTTCTTCTAGGTTACTGAAAATTCAGGCTTCTAGTTTTATCCACTACGAAGAAGGCCTGAATTGCTTCGAGAAAAGTATAGTACGGCCGTGCTGCTTTTTTGCTTGACTGCCGTACCCCCAGATTAGTAATCTTATTAATTAACATTACTAATATTCCTTTTAACCACTCCTGGTAAGCTTTAAATGCTTGTGTTAGGAGTGGTTCGCACATACGCCACTCGATCCCTTTTTTACAAAGTGATACCATGTATCACTTTTATTTGACAACAATACTTTAACAAAACTGCAAACTGCAACGTACATTTCTCGATAAATCTGTTTCAATCTAATAACTCACTATTTATCAAATTGAAATGAATGCTACACGAACACAATACTGGTAATTTCCTTACTATAAACCTCTATAAACTTCAACATATAATATTTATTTACAATATCTAGGTATTTAAAAAGTACTCTGTCTGTACTTACAACTCACAGTATGTATATTTTTGATAATATTCACAAGTTCACAGTTCAAACATGTTCACAGCTATAATATTATATTTTAATATGTATATGTAGTCTTTGTTCACAGCACAGATTAAGTTAGACCAACATTCTATAGGTAAGATTAGAATTAGAATTTTAGCAATGAAAATGAAATGACAACTTTTCGATATTGTTGAATGCTTTCATAAATATTTATTTTATTCAAATGTATATTGCGTTCAAATTATCAGCCAAGTACGACCGGTTGTTTTTGCGTCTCCCAACAGCAAAAAATTTTAAAATGTGGTATATTACCCCAGCCAGTTTTGGCATTTTATCGCTAGTTCTTGAATCAGATGAATCAGTGCGATTCGAGAGGGTTTTGGATCGATTCAGTGAATCGATGCGGTGCTCTGAATCGATCTAAATAATCGATTATTTTACTCAAAAGAATCGATTTTTCGATTAATCGATTTTAGATCGACATGCCTATAAGGGCATTAGAAACACCAGATCAGACACAGGCGCGAAGAGATGCAAATGCACAGCTCCAAACTGAACGTCGACAAAATTTTCAAAGAAACAATTGGTCGGTTTTTAATGACGCAGCATTAAATTATGATCCGTTGATTGATTATAAAAATCACTGGTTCAAGGGATATGATACCAGACAGCGAAACTATTCATTTTGGGTGACAAAAAATCCTAGAAGATGGCTCTCTATTTCTATATATATTACTCTACTCTATGTCACAAACACTAACATGTCAGTGTCACAAATGGTTAACACTAATCAAACAGGTCAGTGTTAAAAATGCAAAGTGTTCTTAGCAAGTTCCATAGAGGAAAGTAATATATCGTACAGCAAGTTCCTAGTTTCACAAACAAATAATGGGGCTAGGGGCTAGCGTAGTACCTATCTTATCAATCCTCTGTATACGGTTTCGGGTGTAAAATAATCCTGTGATAATAACTTTTTCTGTGTTCTTATTCTATTTTTCTTTACAGTGGGATGTTGAACTTTCATAGAATAATTTTTAAGTCGAATAAAATGAAACCTTTAAATCAACATTTTACATGCACGAAAAATTTTCATTCGACCAGATTAAAAGGAAAAGTAGCTATAGTTACAGCATCTTCCGAAGGGTACGTAGTTTTAATTTGGTGTTTTTTTAGCCGAGAGGGCGGGTAGATGGGGGGAAGGGGCAGGAACCTCCCCCTAAAATAATTAAGGGCCGGAACCCCCCCCCTTTTTATGAATTTTTTAGTAATCTGCCGCATGAATATATGGTCGCCGAGTGGGTGGGGGGCTGGGGTAGGAACCTCCCCCTAAAAGGGGGAAGTGTCATAACCTCACTTTTTTATACAGGAATATTGACGCAGTTACTTCTGCAACGGCTTCGGCACTGCGGGAAGTGCAGCCCCTTCGCCCTTGCGCAGCAAATCGCAGGCACCTAAGCAAGTCGTAGCAGCTGAGGCTGGTCGCCGAAGGCGACCAATAAGCCGAAGCTGCGTAGGCGAGCGGGGGGCTGCTCTCCCTCCGTGCCTACGGCTTATCAAAAACACTAGGGGTAGGGCAGACAAGACTGTGTGGAGTAGGGGTGTGCTAATTCGGTTTTAGAACCGATTCGACCAATTTTATCTATAAAGTCTAGTTTTTCTTAACTCTATTAGAGTGGTTAATGAAATAATGTAATGTGAATTGTTATAATTTTGTTTTCTGAAAAACCTCTTGACTGCTCTCCACTGCAACTCAATTTGTTGTCCCATTTGAAGTCCCATCTCCAGCCACAAATGGATTGTCTGGGTCCAAGTGATTAACTTTTTTATGAGTGTATCTGTCTTAAAAAACAAATTGACACATTTGCGTTTCATTATATGCAATTTTAAGTGAAATTTATTTTTATCGTAATTAATTCAAAAGGTATTTCTGAAATCCAAAAACAAAACAGTGTAAATGGTTCGAGCTTAACCCTGATAGTTCTCCTAAATTGAAAACAAAATTAAAAAATCAAGTAGGGTCGATGCGCCGGTAAGCCGACCGGGTCTAGATTTCGGCCTTTGGCACGAGCTGATGCAGTAAATTTGATTTAATAACAATTTTAATAAATGTTATCGTACGAAATACAGTTTAATGCATTTGTAAATAGTTTCACTATATCTGGTAGCATTAATTAATCAGGTAAACACAACACGCGATTTATAATAAATAGTTTAGTTTGACGCCGACACTGAAGCTATCAAAACGGGTAAGATCGAGCAAAAAAAATAGTGGCGAGCGTTCCATTCAAAAGTAAGTTTCGTACTGTATTTAATATAATTACTTAATATTGTGGTTATATTTTACTGTATAAATAACCTAATATAGTTATTTGACACTGATTATTATAATAATTTATTGATAAAGTTAATAAATTAAGTGTCCGAAAAGTGACACACAAAATTGTCCCATTATTTGGTTGTCGGCCATGCGGCCGAAAAGTAGCCTGAGTTTAGCCTAAATACTTTGTCTCTTTCCTTTATTTGGTTACGTATTATAACTCATCTTTCTTACTTATATTGAATCGTAGCGTGCGTAGACACTAATTTTCAGTTTTCGGCCACCAAGTACTGCAATTTGAACAGTTAGTGATGAAACAAAATACCCATTTCAGTCGTGGCCGAAAACTGGATTGACTCTAAAATAATTACAATTTAGTTATCGGCCAACTTAAAATTGTATGAAAGAATACGGCGGCGGAAAATGGAATGCTGTCTTAGTTTACGTTTACGGCCATTTCATCTTATCATATCAAATATTTTATTCACATTGCGTTTTAGGAAGAAGATTCAATAAGAAATTTTTTTCTTCAGATGGCTCCTCTTAGTTAGAGATGAGAATGGTTAGATATGGTAACAGATTTTGTTAAACTAAAATACTTATAAGGAAGTACAAAATACTTGTAAATGAGAATATTTGATTGCTATATTTAAAAGATTTTATTATTAGATTATGATTCAAAGAGCAATAATTAATTATGGTTATTATTTTATATCAAAAACACACCCAAAAAGAAAAAAATAACGTCATGGTAAAAAAATCGCAATCACCGATTGAGAAAACTAAATACACCGATATCCCAAACCGTTTTGCCATTTTCTGATTTTACAAAAACACTTTTTAAGTTAATAGTACCTCTTCTAATACAGTGGCCGAAAACTAAAATTCTTGTAGGCCGAAATCTAAAATTTGGGGCCGAAAACTAGCGTTTTGCATATTTTTCACATCAAAATTTATTATAAAAAATACATTTCTTTTGTAGCATCAATGAGTTATCAAAATGAAAACTACTATAGCTAATTAACATTAACAACACTAGGTCAACATAATCGCTATTATTTTTTATAGTACCTTAAAGTTGACAACTCCACTAAAAGGCCGAAAACCAGCGCAACGACCCTACCGGAAATCTACTTCATAATACGAGAACAAATTGACATATTTGCCTTTCGTTATGACACTATTTTTGGTGAAATTTATTTTTATTGTAATTAATTCAAAATGCATTTCCGACATCTAAAAACAGTGTAATAGGTTTAAGATTAACCCTAACAAGCCTCGTAGACTAAAAATATTATCAAAATCAAGTACCGGATGTCTAGCCAACCTGATATGACCACAAAACTTTAACTATCGATATCTCGAAAAATAAAGATTTCTGGCATAAAAAGCAGCTAGATGGTAATCAATAGCATCATTGCCTGTCAACTAAAGCTAAAATAATCAGTTAAATCGTGCAGCAGATTACTAAAGCCGACCCTTTAATTTACCTGCATTTATTTTATACATTCTCTCAGATTATTTTAATATGATTGTTGATTTTGCATATTTTCTATGAGTACCCTCAGACAAAATGAAAAAGTGAGTGAGTACCGAAAACTAGTTAGTTAGTTTACGATGGGCTGTTTTATGCAACTCCACGTCTAAGCGCATATTTTGCGTGTGGGCAGGAATAATGTGGTTATTCGAGCCATGATATTTCCCCGAAGAAGTTCAGCAATCCTTTGATGTTGCAAGCAACTTCGGGGAGTGATCCGAGGCATGCCGAGGTGTTTAGCCCTGTATGAAGCGACTTCTGGACATGTCAGCAACACGTGAGCCGCCGTTTCTTCCTCTCCCATTCATGCCCTGCACAGGGGGTTATCAGTAACACCTATGGTGAACAAATGTTTGTTAAAAGAGCCATGTCCTGTGATAGTATTTGTTACTATCCTGATCTGTGGCTTGTTCAGTCTCATTAATACCTTGGTTAGACGACTGTTTATTTCAGGCAGGGCCTACCTAGCTAGTCTACAGTCTACTAAATTTTTCCAAAGCTGAGCGTGTAAATTTTTGAAGCATCTATGTACCAGTGAACGAACGTAGCCAAAGGGGATTGGTATTATAGGTTCCGGCCCTATAGTTGCCAGAGCAGATACTCTTCTGGCCAGTTCATCTGCTGCATCGTTGCCTCTAGATCCACTGTGTCCCTTGATCCATTGCAGAGCCACATTGTTGTGCTTACATACCTCATTCAATCGTGGTTGGCACTCGTATATCAGTCCCGAGTTCTTCACATTGCAACTCAGAGCTTGTAGTACCGCCATACTGTTGGTCAGTATTCTGATGGAGAAGTCTTTCACCTTCCTAGCATCTATTGCTATGGCCACTTGGATGATGCCCATGCATTCAGCCTGGAAGACTGTGTTGTGGGTACCCAGCTGTGTGCATATGTGGACATTAAAGTCTTCAGAGAAAGCCCCAGACCCCTTTATTTGTCTTAGAACCATCCGTGAAAACTTTGAGCTCTCTTGGACCCAATCCTTCCAGATGGTCAGTTTCCTTCAATTGTATCCTGTACTTCTTATCGAATACAAATTGTTTTGGGATCCTATCATACTTGGCTTGTAAGATAGAAATTTTTGAGTAAATTCTATCAATTATATCCATATGAGGGACTCTACTCTTACTTAAAAGATTTAGGGTCTTGAGTCTAATGGCAGCTAAAGTTGCTTCTTGTTGTATATGTAGATGAAGCGGTGTTAGCTCCAGCATAGCCTCCAAAGCTGCTGTTGGTGTAGTCCTTATGCAGCCCGTGGCAGCTATACGAGCTAATCTCTGGTAATATCAAAAACTATTCCACCTCATTTTTTTATGCAATTCTCTGCAGATTTTCCTACTGTTGATTTAAATGCCATGGGGCAAATCGGTGCCATATTGGCTGCGTTTGGCAGAAAAAAGCGCTAGGAAACGCTTGTAAGCAAAATGGCGATCATAAGCGGTAAGCACTGTCAAATCGTAAGTAGCTATTTTCCTCTGGGACACGAAGCTAGCTTTAACCGGGGAACCTGACCTAATTTAAATATATATTTGTAAAGTATTCATATTAAAAACTTACCAATCATGAATTTTTAACAACATGTATAATATGTTTATTCATGTCATTATATTGCTTGAAACTAATATTGCACAAAACAACTTATAAACTCTACTTCAAAACAAACAAACAATTATAAATGATATTCAGTCTTGTTTTATAAATAGTAATTTTTTGTTGTATGCAGATGACCTGAAAGTTTATCGAAGTGTAAAGTCCCTTAATGATTGTGAGCAGCTACAGGAAGATCTTGACCGGTTATCTAACTACTGTCTAATCAATAAACTGCAATTAAGCATCCCTAAATGTAAATCTATTTCTTTCACCAAAAACGTAAAAACCTACAATTACATATATTCCCTTCTTAACAGTCCCTTAGAAAAAGTATCATTAATAAAAGATTTAGGCATCCTTTACGATTCAAATCTAACCTTTAATGCTCATATCAGCCATGTAACAAATAAAGCGTATCAAATGTACGGAATTGTTGCACGAACGTGTAATTTTTTTAAAAGCTCATCTTATTTACTACTTTTCAAATCACTTATCAGACCACAAATTGAATATGCAACGCAAGTATGGAACCCCTATAATAAATACGGTGAACATCTAGAATCATTACAAGCAAAGTTTCTTCGTTTTATAAAATATAAATTACCACGCTAAATCATCGTATCGTAACTTATTAAAAAAGTTTTCAATTCATACTTTAAAAGCAAGAAGAATATACTTTGATCTGATACTATTATT